TAGGCAGAAAAGCTCCTTAAAGGGCTGTGTGCAAATTCCCCCGGCCAGCTAGCCCTTCCCGAGCACCCAGGTGAGCCGAACAAGCCCCTCTGGAGCTCCAGCCTAACAGAGAAGACGCGGGAGACTAGAGAGGGGAGCCTCCTCAGAGGGTGGTCAGGGAAGGCCCTCCAAGGAAGGGGTATGGACGCCAGGACCTGAATGATGTCGCTGGAATGTGGGCCACCCACAGCACCCAGAACAGAAACTCGGTACACGGCTGTGAAATAAATGAAATGGAGGGAAAAAGGAGCCATGCAAAGTGCTGGGAGGGAAAGGAATCCAGGTACAGTGAACAGCCCAGCAAAGGCCCTGAGCAGGAGCGGGCTTGGGTGTCTGCAGACGGCCCAGCAGACGCCAGTGTGGCCAAGGCCAACAGAGAGAGAGGAGCCAAGCAACAGTGGGGGTAGGATAGTCCCAGAACACAGTGGGCTCCATGTGGCCCCATGTCAGGTACTGACATCTTCATCCTTAACACCATGGGAAGTCACAGAAGGATTTGCTGAGGGCGTACAGGACCTGAGTTCTGTTGTTAGTCTGTACCCTGCTGCAAGGGGGTAGACTGGGGTAGTGAGGGGAAGCAGGAGGAGCCTCTGGCAGTCTTCCAGCCAAGAGGCACCAGTGGCAGAGGAGATGGAGGAGAGAAAAGGTGCCAGCACACAAGATCTCACAGGGTGGCCCTGGGCCGGTGCTTGCACGTTTACGTCCTCCTTTGTTTCCCATGACAACCAGTGAACTGAACGCTTATGAGAAAATGGCACAGCCATGATGTGACCCCAGAATCTGGGTCCCAGGCACCCACCCCACCCTCCTAAGCAGGACTAAATGTGTGCCAGAGGGAAGCCTGGTGAAGCAGAGGCAGCAGGGCTGTCCTCAATGCAACCTGTCCCTGTCCCAGCTTCAGGAGGAAAAGCTGACTGCAGAGGGGGACCTCCCTCCCTAACCAGGGCCCTCCTCTGACCCAGAGGGGCATCTACAGCTGGAGGGCATCTGGGGTCCCCCGCTGTTCACAGAAACCTTCAGAATGGCTAACTTGGCCAACACAGGCCTGGCCCCACCCATGGGGGACGATCTGGGCTCCTCAGATCTTACTCCCTGTGCCCTGGTTCTGCCACGACCCCCATTTACCAGATGAGGAACTACCTCCTAGAAATGTTGTGGAATAAAATGAGTTAAGAGATATAAAAACCTTAGAACAGGGTCTGGCTCAATAGAGAATTAGTTTTAATTATTCTTTTATTCAATCAACAAACATTTCCTAAACACCTATTTATGTTCCTGGCACAAATAGAAAATGTCACACCTGGCAGATAGGTGTTCTGAAGAAAAATAAAACAGGCTAAGGGTAAGGGTCATGAGGAGCAAGGCAGGACACTATTAAGAAGAGGAATTTGAACAGAGACCCCATGAAGTTATGGAAAAACCATAATGGTACCTGGGGGAAGAGGGTTCTAAGCAAAGGAAACAGCAAGTGCAAAGGTCCAGGGAGTGGGAAGTGTATGTGTTGGGCATGTTTAAGGAACTAAGAAGACCAGTGTGGTGAAAGTGAGGGAACTAGCAGTAGAAAATGACTCTGCAGAAGAAGGCCAGATCATATAGGACTTTGTAGAGTATGGCAGATCTTGGAGTTTACTCCAAGTGGGACTAAAAGCCACTCAGAGGTCTAAGCAGATAAATTACATTAAGATTTACACTGAAAATATCACTAATATAATGCACTATATTAAGTACATACACCTGCTAAGACCAGGGATCTGTAAAACAAATACCAAATATTTCAGGTTTTGCAAGGCACATGGTATCTGTCACACGTACTCAACCCTCCCATAGTAGGGGTGCAAAGGCAGCCACAGATATTTTGTAAATGAATTTGTGTCATGTTCCCATAAAACTTTATTTGCAAACACAGGAGGTGGGGCCATAGTTTGCCAGTCTGCTCCAGACCTAATATCCAGTTTACAGGGAATACAGCCACAGAGGAACAAAATCAACAGCGCTAAAAGGCAACAATATGATACATCCAGAGTGTAGGACATTCTACAAGACAGCTAGCCTGGCTCATCAAAAAACCAATGGTATGTAGGGGAAGAGGTCAGAAAGGCAAGAGGTACCTGGAATAATCCTGGTTTGAAAAACATTTTGAGAACTGGGAAAATTCAAGTATGGATGTTTATGGAGAGGATGTTAATAAATATATTACAAATAATCATCTCAGGTGTGATAACGGCATCATGAGTCTGTAGGACAAAGTCCTTATTCTTAGGAGACGCCTGCTGAAATATTAAGAAGGAAAGTATCATGAAGCATGAACAGAAGTTCAGGACTCAGCTTAAAATACAGTCAGATGAGGTAAAAGTGGCAGTTGCTGAACTGCTGAATCTAGGTACAGGTTATCTGGATGTTCATTTAGTATGCTATTTTTTCAGCTTTTCTCTTAAGTCTGCAACAAGCTGGCCATGGGTGGAGGATGTACACAACTCCCTCTAGCTGCCCTGGGGAGGCAGGGAGGCTACCAGGTGCCCAGGGAGCAGCCCTGAGGCATTGAGGCAACCATCCAGCAGCCCTCTGTCCCCACCCCACTCCCCCTGAGCCCACCGTCCCCAGGCCCAGGCCTATGTGAGACAGGGCAGCGAGGACAGTCATGAGCAGAATGGCCTCCCCCTTGCTGGGTTTCTAGCTTACACCGCCCCCGGGGTTAGGGTCAGGAATCTGGGTTTGGTCTCAGAGCCATCCCAGCAGGTTTCTCTCCAGTGGCGGCAGAAGGTTTCTCTCCAGTGGCTGCAGCAGGCACTGAGAAACGCCAGATGATGGGGGCTCTCCAGCCCCTAAAGTCTTAGTAAAGGGATTCTTCCCCAAGCTGAAGGGCATGGTATCTTACTAAAAAGGAAACTAGGGTAGATCTCTTGCCTACTAAAACACTTTGCCAGCTCCCCACTGCTCTTTTACAAGGCTTACAAACCGTGTGCCAGGTACTGCTGAATCACGGGCTTCCTGTTTGTCATCCCCCTGAACCTTTCAGCAACCCTGTGACAAACCCCAATTGATTCACCATCTGCCAAGCCCTGTGGGCCCCTCCATCTGGAGTCCAGGCCCTGGCTGAGCTCATCAGCCTCAGGGTCTCCACTTCTCCTCTTCCAAGACCCCTGGCCCATGATTCTCTGCTGACACAGGACCCTCCGTGGTCCCTGGGATGACAAACTGTATCACCTCTGGGCCTTTGCATATGCTGGTCCCTTTTCTTGGAGTCACCTCCTTTCTATCTCCATGGCCAACTCCTATCCATTCTTTAAAACTCAGCCCAGCACCCAGGCTCTATGCGCATACTGGTCTCTATTTGCTCTCACTAGCAGTCTGTATCTGTGTCCCTAGTTTTCAACCGAGTAGCACCTCAGCTGGCCTGAAATGATAATTGTTCCCCTTGGTGGGGTGAGTATATTTTTAACCTTGGAAAGCTGTGCAATGTTAATTACAGTATAGACTGTGGTAACATGCCTTATGATACTGTTGAGTGTATGCTCTAGAAACACACTGTCCAAGAGGGTAGCCAGTAGCCATATGTGGTGATTTAAACTTAAAATAAAAAATTCCATCTCTCAGTCACACTAGCTACATTTCACATTTCAAATGCTCAATAGCCACACGTGACTACTGGCTACCCTCTTGCACAACACAGGTATTCAGCATTTCTATCATGGCAGAAAGTTCTCTTGGATGGCACTTTTCAGAGGATCACCTAACTCCTTACCCTACAACTAAGCTAAAGGAGTATCTTTCAAAGTGAGGCCCAGGAACAAAGTGGGCAAAAATATTTGCCATTCATTACCAAGGGCTAAGCTCCCTGATTTATAAAGAGCTCTCAGAAACAAATAAGAAAAAGGCCAACTATACAACAGAAAAACAGACAAAGGATATGAACAAACAATTCAGAAAGGAAACACACAGGGCTCATGAACATATGAAAGGACACTCATCCACAGAGAGAAAAAGGTTAGTTTTTAAAACTACCCTATGGTGCCATTTCCCACTGGTCAGACTGATAAAAATCCGAATGTTTGAAAACACAAGGCTGTGAGGACACTCTTAGACATTACCCAATAGAAACATGTCTCAAAATTACAAATGCAAATCCCTGTGACCCAGCAATCCAGCATCTAAGAATTCATCTTACAGATTTACTTACACATATGTTACAGGAGATACACACAAGGTACTTCACTGTTGCACCAAGGCTGGAAACAATGCCAGTCACCACTAATAAAGAACTGCTAAATAAAACTGGGGACATACGTGTGTGGCTGTTTATAAAAAACAAACAGCAAGCACCCACTGCAGCAGCAGAGCTGGTGTTCACATGCGGAAGCAGAAAGAGTCCCCGAGATACATTAAGTAAAAAAGAAACTTCAGGTACAATGTTACCTTTTGTGTAAAGAGAAAAAACATGGGGAGTAAGGTACAAGCCTCCATCTGAATGAACTTGTCTGTAAACACAGTTCTCCAAGGACACAGAAGAATAGCAGTTAATATGCAGGGGCATATGGGTCAGAAGAGATAGTGAAGACAACTCCTGGTACTGTTTGATTTTTGAAACTAAGTGAATCTATATCATCTCTTCTGATTATTCAATTGTTCTTTTTAAAATAATCTCTGGACCATATGCCTCAAAATCATGGAGATGCTCATTAAAAATGCAGCTCCCTGACTTCCCGCATCTCCAGTCAGAGCCCCCAGAGCAGGCCCAGAGCTCTGCCCTGTTAACAAACTCCACCCACAATCCCAATGCAACCTCCAGTCTGAGGACACAGAGTAGGGTCTGCATACTAACCCCTACTCTTCCCAGTTCACAGAAGGGCTGAGACTGGGAATGCCTACATAGGGTGCCAGGACAATCTGTCCACCCGCATCCCTTCTCTCCACCCTGGGCCTGGCCACTCTCAAAGGGTAGCCACATGGAGGCCCAGACTCACCTCTCATCTGGAGAGTCGACATGGAAGGTCCTCTCAATGACGGTAGTCCACTGTAGGCAGCGAATGACAAAGGTGTTGGGCCGTGGTCTTTCGGTCTTCATCAGCTGGCATTCTGCAGAGGGAGGACAGAGCCAGGAGGGTGAGGAGACAGCCCTGCTGGCCTATAGACCCCAGCCCCCAGCCACCTCCTGCGTGTTGCGTGTCAGCCCCCTGCCAGACGATACTGGAGATACTTCAGTGACTGAGACAGCCCTAGCCTTGCCACCACAGGGCTCAAGGTCCAGCGTGTGTATGGAAGGGGCACAGACCACTAGACCACGATAGCTCAGTGGGCAGGGCTGTGATGGGGCAAAGCCCAGGAGGTGGCCAACACAGCCCAGGGCTTGGGCGAGGGCACACTCCCAGGGGAGAGGCAGCTCTGCGCTGAGCCCTCAAGGGAAAGGGAATGAGGACAGTCAAACCAAAGGAGAGTCATGTACAGAAGCCCAGAGGTGTAAGATGGCCCAGCACACTAAGGGAATGGCCAACTCTGCTCTGGATGTGAGGAGGGGAGAAGCGACTAGAAGCCTGGAGAGGGGCAGGGGCCTGCTTGCAGGGTGGGGGGCATGGTGAGGAATCTGGACTTTGTCCTGAGAGCAGCCAGGAGCACAGAAGGCTTTGCATAGGGAAGGCACCTGAACAGATTCAGACAGAGCTCTCTGGTTGCCACGTAGAGGGTGAGGAAATGAAGCTGGGAGACCAGGGAGGAGGCTGGGGTTACACCAGAGTAAAGCCACAGGGAGGGGAAGGAAGGGCAGGCACACAGGCCCTGGGGGAGGCACATCCAGGACAGGGCCAGGCCTCTGGCCTGAGGACTACAGGGCAACAGCGCCCTCCCTGAGATGGAGCTGGAGAAGGAGGTTAGGGGAGGGGATACTCGAAGGACAGTTTGGGACATGGTGGGTATGAAGGACCTAGGACACCAAGGGAGAAACGTGCAGGAAGCTACTCAGGACAGGTGGCAGTTAGGACAAGGAGCCAGGGCTGGGGACAGCCATGTCATGGTCGCCAGAACACAAGGACACGGGGAAAGCACCTAGGACAAGGCTCTAAGCAGGACAGAGAGGAGGCTGAGGCTGGACTGCTGAGAGCAGGTACGGGTGGACTGGAGGGGTGAGGCTGAGGAAGCAGCTGGAGCAGGGAACTAGGTGGCGGCAAAGAGTGATCTGGGCTAAGCAGTGGCAGTGGAATTGGGGGTGTCTTTGAAATGTTCGTAGGATGTGGGCGAGGACATGGTGACTGATTAGGTCAGCAGGAAAGGGGCAAGCAGGAGACAAGGGTTCGGGGGCAGGATCATGATTCTGCAAGGCCCTGGCAAGGGCTCTGGGCCTGCCAAGCTTTCACTGGCCAGAGTCCAGCTGGAAGGCACCACTCCGGGTACCATGAGGGGACGAAGGACGTGAGGTTAGCCCTGCAATCAACTGAGTGGTGGCCAAGGCTGCCTCTAGGTTAGGGAGAGAGAGAAGCAGGCTATTATCCACAGGCCGGCAGGCACCTGACACCAGCCAGAACCACAGGGACTGGCCAGCAGGAGCTAGAGCCACAGAGGCGGGGAGCTGGGAAAATGCCTGGCTTCTCCCTCCTTCCTGCTCTCCACAGCCCAACAGTGCAGCCCCCCAGCTGACGTGGAGAAGGGACAGCAGGCGGAAGGCAGGAAAACGGACCCAAGGGCAAACCGGCCCTGGACTGGCCCACAGCCCAACAGGGGCCCACACCCGGGTGCCCTCAAGACCTCTGAGCCCCGGAGCTCTGGCGCAGGGCCCTGGGCCGCACCTGCAACGGAGAAGTTGTTGAGAGGGGGCAGGGTCTGGTCAGGGGCTTCGGGCCGCTCCTTGTAGCCAATGAAGGAGCCATCACTCTTCAGCAGGAAGTACCGGGGCCTCCAGGTCTTGATGTATTCACCTGAAGGAGGGGGTGGGGAGAGGGGTCAGGGCAGGCAGCCAGTGCCCCCCAGGGGGCACCTCAGTGGGAAGAGGGCAGATGAGAAAGTGGGCAGGAGAGTGCCGCTCCCAGAGAAACCCTCAAGGAGGCCCCTGCTGACGCAGGCTGGGTGCTGAGCTGGCCCCAGTGATCCAGAGGTCATGCCTGGCAGGAAGGCGCCTGCTGCAGGGCCCCAGGGCACCAGCTGCCTCAGCATGCGGCCAGCAGCGAGCCACCCTTGCCAGCACATGGCCCAGTCCCAGGGGAGGCCCAAGCTTCCAAACACACATGCCCTGTGGCCCTGTAAGGCCAAATCCCCATGGGCTGCTTTCACCAGCACAGCCACACAGGTGGATCAAATGTCAAAATAGTGTGCCAGGCTGGTATAACTGTTGTTCTGCCCTCCAAGTGCTCCTTGATCCCTTCCATTTGTTCTAACCATGACTATTCAAGCACCCTGTGTATATACATATACGCACACACTACAAGGTCCCACTCCTCAGAGGGCTGCTAGGGATTAAAATAAGATGGTGATACATACATCCATACAAAAACTCGTATATAAATGTCCATAGCAACATCACTCATAATAGCAAAAAGGAGGAACTCAAAAGTCCACCAACTGATGAATGGATAAACAAAATGTGGCATATTTAAACAATGGGGTATTACTCAGTCATATAAAGAAATTATTAATACATGCTGCATGGATGAACCATAACCTATGCTAAGTGAAAGAAGCCCGTTACAAAGGACCACAAGCTATCTCACTCCATTTTTATATAATGTCCAGAAAAAGCAAATCTATAGAAATGAAAAGTAGATTACTGGTTGCCTAGGACTGGAAAGAGAGGGGAGGAATCTGGGGAAAGATTGGAGGGTGACAGCCAAGTCAGAGGGGCAGGTTCTTTTTTAGGGTAGTAAAAATGTCCTAAAATTGGAAATGGAAGCAACCTAAGTGTCCATCAGTAGATGAATGGATAAAGAAGATGTGGTACATATACACAATGGAATATGATTCAGCCATAAGAAGAAAACAAATCCTACCATTTGCAACAACATGGATGGAGCCAGAGGGTATTATGCTCAGTGAAATAAGCCAGGTGGAGAAAGACAAGTACCGAATGATTTCACTCATCTGTGGAGTATAAGACCAAAGAAAAAACTGAAGGAACAAAACAGCAGGAGACTCACAGAACCCAAGAATGGACTAACAGTTACCAAAGGGAAAAGGACTGGGGAGGGTGGGTGGGAAGGGAGGGATAAGAGGGCGAGTGGGGGGGAAGAAAGGGGGCATTATGATTAGCATGAAATGTAGGGGGGGCATGGGGAGGGTGTGCAACACAGAGAAGACAAGTAGTGACTCTACAACATCTTACTACGCTAATGGACAATGACTGCAATGGGGAATGTGGGGGAACTTCATGATGGGGGGAGTCTAGTAAACATAATGTTCCTCATGTAATTGTAGATTGATACCAAAAAAAAAGTCCTCAAATTGATTGTGGTAATGAATGTATAACTCTGAATACACTGAAAGCCACTTAATTATAACACTTTAAATGGCTGAACTACATGTTATGTGAATCAAGATCTTAAAAAAAAGATGAGATGGCAACTACAGAGCACCCACCTTGGGACCCTGCACACAACAGGCCCTCGATGAATGCTGTATCATCAACCTACTGTGCAGGTGAAGCCTGTGCCAGAATCACAGTGTGCATGGCACACGGGGAGGCAGGAGGGCAATGTGGATCTGAGCTGTATTTGCTGTGTGGCCTCTGTTAAGTCACTCCAGTCTCTGAGTCTTTGTTTCCTCTTACAGGGATACCCATTAATTGATGATGAAGAGAAGGAGGAGGATTAGATAAGACTACAGTGGCACTCTGTGCCAAGGCACTGTCCCAAGTACCTTGTAAGTTTTAACTTATTGACTTCTTTCATATGGAGACACAAAATGACTCAACATATATAAAGTTCAAAAACTAGCAAAACCTCGAATTCAATGGCACAATTAAAGGATTACACGCCATGACTAGGTAGGTGGGTTTTATCCCAGGAATGTGAAGGTGGTTCATATGTGAAAACCAGTCACTGTAAGACATGTTAGAAGAACAAAGGGGACAACCACATCATCCTCTGGACTGACACACAAGCATTTGACAAAACCCGACACCCTTTCATGATAAAAATACTCAGCAAGCCAGGAATAGGAGGAAATTTCCTCCACATGATAAAGGGCATCTATGCAAAAACCACAGTGAACATCACAGCGATGACCGACGTTCCCCTGAGATCAGGAACAAGACAGAGAGGTCTGCTTTCACCACTGCGATGAAACACTGTACTGTTCTAGCTAGAGAAGACACAGAGAGACAAAAGGCATCCAATTTGAAAAGGAGTAAGTAAAACCACCTTTACTTGTAGATAACATGATCTTATATACAGAAAGTCACAAAGAATCCACAAAATAATTACTAGAGCTACTATAACAAATATAGAAAGATCAATACACACAAAAATCAGCTGTGTTTCTATACACCAGCAGCGAATACTCCAAAAAGGAAATGAAGAAAAGAACTCCAAAAGATTTATACACTAAAAACTACACAACACTGCTGAAAGAAATCAACGACCTATATAAATACAAAGACATTCTGTGCTCATGATGGGAAGACTTGATATTGTCAACATGGCAGTATTTCCCAAAATGACCTACAGATTCAAACATATCATCTATCAAAATCCCAGCAGCCTTTTTTTGCAGAAATGAAAAAGTCAATCCTCAAATTTACATGGAATTCTAATTCATATGGCAAGGGGTCCCAAACAGCCAAAACAATATTGGGAAAAAAAAAAAAGAACTAAAGTGATTCACACTTGCTCATTTAAAAACTTACTGGAGAGCTCAGTAATCAAATCAGCCTGACATAAGGACAGACATACTGACCAATGGAATAGAACCAAGTCAAAAAAATAAACCCACCCACCTATAGTCTATAGATTTTCAACAGTAGTGCCAAGACCATTCAGTGGGGAACGAACAGTCTCTTCAACGTGCTGAGACAACACGCAGAAGTATAGAGCTGGACTCCAACCTCACACCCTGCACTATATACAACAGTTAACTCAATATGGATCTACTTAAACAGAAGAGCTAAAATGATAAAACTCTTAGAATACACTGGATAAATCTTCATGACCTGGGATTTGGCACTGGATTTTTAGATATGACACCAAAAGTGCCAGCAACAAAAGAACAAAATAACATGTACTCATTAAAATTAAAAACTTGTGCAAAGGATGTTCTCTCAAATAGAGAACCAATGGGACAGGTGAAAGTATCTGCAAATCATATACCTGATAAGGGTCTAATATCTATTTAAACAACTCTTACAACTCAATAAAAAGACAAACAGCTGGAATAAAAAACAGGCAAATTCTGGAATAGACATTTTCCCAAAGATATATAAATGGCCAACAAGCACTTGAAAAGATGCCCAACATCATTAGCCATTGGGAAAATGCAAATCAAAACCACGATAAGATAGCACTTCAAACCCACTAAGGTGGCAGTAATTTAAAAAAAGAGAGAAAGAGCAAGCGTTGCTGAGGATGTAGAGAAACTGAAACTCTTGTGGGAATTGCTGGGGGCAATGTACAATGGTGCAGCCCTGTGGAAAAGATGGTGCTTCCTCAAAAAGTTAAATATAAAATACACTATAGGTTATAAATATAGAATATATAACCCAAATTATATGTACATATATATGTACATGCACTGTAAAAGTACTCAAGCCCAATGAACTGTACACTCTAACATGTTTAACTCTGTGTTATGTAAATTTCACCCCAATTTTAAAAAAGCAAAACAAAACAATTTCACCTATATCACTACATCAAAACTCTATCACTTATGCTATTGGAAGTCAGGAGAGTAGTTACTGCTTGCGGGGGTGGGGGAACTTCTGGGGGCTGACTTGTTCTTTTTTCTTGATCTAGACATTGGTTCAGAGGTGAGCCTATGATCCAGGAGCTTACCTGTGGTGTTTTATAGATCAGTAACAAGCTAGGAGAAAAAAAGAAACTTAGAAAAAAAGGGAAAACATCCTCACAACAAACCCATTTTACAGATGAGGTAACTGGGGGCACAGAGAGGTTCCATTACTTGCCCGAGGCTCACAGCTGTTAACTGGGAAAGCTAAGATTGGCACTGAAGTTTACTCTATCCCGAATCTTCACTCTTGACCATTTCACTGTCTGCTTCTAAGCTGACAGATGGGGCCTGGCACAGGATGCACTGAGGCTGTGTCAGAAAGGAGAAGGGCAAATGGCATGAGTGACTCTCACAGTTGTGCTATTTTGCAGACCTTGCTGAGCAAGAGGCAGCACGTGAGTCAGGCCTTGAGAGCACAAGTTCGGGAGCCAGAGGGGCTGAGTCCTAACCTCAGCTCCACCATCTCCTCACGGAAACCTTCGGCAAGTCAGTCCCCCTGAGGAGCCTCAGCTTCCAGGTCTGTAAAATGGTGGCTGCCCCACAGGACAGTTATGGAAATGCAATGAAATCGGACTTGTCCAGAGCAGAGCCCCATGTCTGGAACAGAGTGGGCACAGTAAACTGGGGCTGCTGTTATTTTAATTGCCAGGGTGGGGTTGGGATGGGATGGCACAGGTGCCAAAAAAGCAGCAGTCGGCAGGGCCCACGTTGCCATGCCCACTTCTGCTCAGAATGATGGACACCAGGAGGTGCAGGAATGAGACATGTATGTACTTGTGCGTGTACAGTACAAACCCAAGGCAGGTGCGCCCTAGCTCGGCCTCCCCAGCAGCTAATCTGACCCCCTTAGTACGAGTGGAGACAACTAAGACCCATTTGCTGCCATTAGCAGCCCTAGACCAGAGACAGACTCCCACCCTGGCAATAATTCACCCACCTCTGGGGCACAGCACCTCACAGTCCAGCCCTGCCCAGCTCAGCGAGCCAACGGCTGTGGGAATGCAGAAGCCTGAACCTGGTATACACTAACACACTCGCACCACCCCACACACAACCCCAACCACCCATTCTAGAGTTATCAAGCACTTATCAATGCCAAGCACTTTCCTAGGCACTGGAGATACCACAGTGAACAAGCCAGATAATCTCTGCTTTCATGGAGTGGACATCAGAGGCGATTTTACAGATGTGAAACCAAGGCTCGGAGAACCTTGGCCCTGCCAAAGCTCAGAAAGCTCCATCAGCAACCCCAAACTCGGGGCCCAGTCTTGGGAGGGATGTGCCACAAATGCCAGCCCTGCCTGGGAAGGGAGTAAGGAAACGAGTCTCCCTTGCTCAACCTGACGGCAGAGGCCTGGCCCTGGGGAGTTACCTCCGTCCTCTGTCCCTGCTCCATGTCTGTGGACTGCAACAGGGCAGGGCAGTGGGCGCCTCTCCTGGGTCCTGTAGCACTGCCCCCTCAGCCTCCTTGCCCTCTTCAGACATGCCCAGCCCACTGCCCTCCCCGGAGTCAGGGGCTGGCCCCTCTGCAGCGCGCTCTTGCCCCAGTTGGCCATGAGTCTCACTCCCTGGCCTTCTCCAGATCTTTATTCAAATGCCCCCTTCTCAGTGAGGACCTCCCAGCCCACACGCCCTCCTCCTTACATTGCTCAATTTTTCTCCATGGCCCTCTCCACCACGGGACACACTTATTGCCTTGGGTGCCGCCCACCCTCCCCACTAAATGGGGTTTTTTTGCTTGTTTGGTTCACTGCTGAACCCCCAGCGCATGGAAAACAGTAGCTGCTCAATAAATGTTTGCTCCGTGGATGACTGACAGTGCAGAGAGCAGCTTCCACCAGGCTTGGCATCCCTCCTCCCCAGGAGAAGGTCCACGGAGGCCAGGGCAGTCTGCCACCTTCACTCTTGTGCCTGGACGAGCTGCCCCTCAGCACGTGCTTCTCCCCAGCTGCATGCACAACCCTGGGGACAGGGACCCTGGGTTCTCTTCTCTGCACATGACTTAATTTCTTGGCCTTCAGTTGCCCAAATCAGGTAACACCCGGGGGGCTCAGAACATCCTGGGCTCTGAATGCACAGAGTTAAAGCCAAGGTCCCTTCCATGGCCTCCAGGGCCCAACATGGCTCGAAGCCACATCACTGGTCTGCTTACCTCCTCCCACTTGCCCTCACTCATTCTGCCCAGCCACACTAGCCAGCCCACTTTTCCAGACCCATTCCCACCTTGTCCTTGCTGTTCCAGTCCCTGGGACACCCTTGCCCTGCTGTTTGTAGCCCACTCCCTCACCCTCTCCAGGCCTCTGTTCACTGGCACCTCCGCTGAGTGGCTTCCCCTGGCAGCCTCCCACTCAGAGTTCCTACTACAGATGGGGCCTGGCACAGGATGCACTGAGGCTGTGTCAGAAAGGAGAAGGGCAAATGGCATGAGTGACTCTCACAGTTGTGCTATTTTGCAGACCTTGCTGAGCAAGAGGCAGCACGTGAGTCAGGCCTTGAGAGCACAAGTTCGGGAGCCAGAGGGGCTGAGTCCTAACCTCAGCTCCACCATCTCCTCACGGAAACCTTCGGCAAGTCAGTCCCCCTGAGGAGCCTCAGCTTCCAGGTCTGTAAAATGGTGGCTGCCCCACAGGACAGTTATGGAAATGCAATGAAATCGGACTTGTCCAGAGCAGAGCCCCATGTCTGGAACAGAGTGGGCACAGTAAACTGGGGCTGCTGTTATTTTAATTGCCAGGGTGGGGTTGGGATGGGATGGCACAGGTGCCAAAAAAGCAGCAGTCGGCAGGGCCCACGTTGCCATGCCCACTTCTGCTCAGAATGATGGACACCAGGAGGTGCAGGAATGAGACATGTATGTACTTGTGCGTGTACAGTACAAACCCAAGGCAGGTGCGCCCTAGCTCGGCCTCCCCAGCAGCTAATCTGACCCCCTTAGTACGAGTGGAGACAACTAAGACCCATTTGCTGCCATTAGCAGCCCTAGACCAGAGACAGACTCCCACCCTGGCAATAATTCACCCACCTCTGGGGCACAGCACCTCACAGTCCAGCCCTGCCCAGCTCAGCGAGCCAACGGCTGTGGGAATGCAGAAGCCTGAACCTGGTATACACTAACACACTCGCACCACCCCACACACAACCCCAACCACCCATTCTAGAGTTATCAAGCACTTATCAATGCCAAGCACTTTCCTAGGCACTGGAGATACCACAGTGAACAAGCCAGATAATCTCTGCTTTCATGGAGTGGACATCAGAGGCGATTTTACAGATGTGAAACCAAGGCTCGGAGAACCTTGGCCCTGCCAAAGCTCAGAAAGCTCCATCAGCAACCCCAAACTCGGGGCCCAGTCTTGGGAGGGATGTGCCACAAATGCCAGCCCTGCCTGGGAAGGGAGTAAGGAAACGAGTCTCCCTTGCTCAACCTGACGGCAGAGGCCTGGCCCTGGGGAGTTACCTCCGTCCTCTGTCCCTGCTCCATGTCTGTGGACTGCAACAGGGCAGGGCAGTGGGCGCCTCTCCTGGGTCCTGTAGCACTGCCCCCTCAGCCTCCTTGCCCTCTTCAGACATGCCCAGCCCACTGCCCTCCCCGGACTCAGGGGCTGGCCCCTCTGCAGCGCGCTCTTGCCCCAGTTGGCCATGAGTCTCACTCCCTGGCCTTCTCCAGATCTTTATTCAAATGCCCCCTTCTCAGTGAGGACCTCCCAGCCCACACGCCCTCCTCCTTACATTGCTCAATTTTTCTCCATGGCCCTCTCCACCACGGGACACACTTATTGCCTTGGGTGCCGCCCACCCTCCCCACTAAATGGGGTTTTTTTGCTTGTTTGGTTCACTGCTGAACCCCCAGCGCATGGAAAACAGTAGCTGCTCAATAAATGTTTGCTCCGTGGATGACTGACAGTGCAGAGAGCAGCTTCCACCAGGCTTGGCATCCCTCCTCCCCAGGAGAAGGTCCACGGAGGCCAGGGCAGTCTGCCACCTTCACTCTTGTGCCTGGACGAGCTGCCCCTCAGCACGTGCTTCTCCCCAGCTGCATGCACAACCCTGGGGACAGGGACCCTGGGTTCTCTTCTCTGCACATGACTTAATTTCTTGGCCTTCAGTTGCCCAAATCAGGTAACACCCGGGGGGCTCAGAACATCCTGGGCTCTGAATGCACAGAGTTAAAGCCAAGGTCCCTTCCATGGCCTCCAGGGCCCAACATGGCTCGAAGCCACATCACTGGTCTGCTTACCTCCTCCCACTTGCCCTCACTCATTCTGCCCAGCCACAGTAGCCAGCCCACTTTTCCAGACCCATTCCCACCTTGTCCTTGCTGTTCCAGTCCCTGGGACACCCTTGCCCTGCTGTTTGTAGCCCACTCCCTCACCCTCTCCAGGCCTCTGTTCACTGGCACCTCCGCTGAGTGGCTTCCCCTGGCAGCCTCCCACTCAGAGTTCCTACTTTTCACAATAGTGCTTATGACCACCTGACATCCTATGTCTGATTACCTGCTTATTGTTTGTTGCAACCCCATGTTTATTGTTTGTCCCAACCCAACAGAACCTCCATGAGGGCACCATGGTTCCCCAGGCCCAGGATGGCCTGGCATACCACACACATCGATGATATTTGCCAAATGAATGAAATGTTGATAACACCTCACACCAAGTTGTGACTTACCCTCTCTGAGCCTCAGTTTCTTCATCTATAAAACAAGGCTATGAATGAGATCACTAACGCAGAGGCAGAACTCGAGGCCTAGGCTAGGAGCTCATGCAGGGTGTCCAGCTAGGCCTGGAGGTTTAAACCCAGGCAGATCCACGGCTCCCCAGACTGCTGCTATAGTATTCCATAAAATGGGCTCGTAAGGAGCTGCAAGCCTGGGACAAGCAGGTGGGGCTCAGAAGGCTGGCTCCTTGGGCTGTGAAGACCCTGCACCTCTGCCTCTCAGGGCACCAGCCACCAGGGAGAGAGCTGGGGTGGAGGGGAGACATGTAACCTAGCAGGTAAAAGCAGCCCCTTACCGCGCTTATGTAGCCAGCCTTCTTTGATGACAGACACCTCGTTCATGGTGGCAGTGTGACACGCTGTCACCTAGCTTGGGACAGCTCAGGGCAGCAGGACATGCAGGAGGTGCAGTGGACAGAGCACAGTCTGCAAGACAAGAGAGGCACCGTCAGAGTGCGAGGGGGTTCAGCCCCAGCCCTGTCCCTCAGAACAACCAGGCTCTGAGGCCCCGTGAGCTGCTGTGCCTGCGGTGTGCAGGGTGGAGCCAGTGAGGGTGGGGAGCCCTGCCCAGAGGGCCCAGTCTGAGGGGGGAGATGTGGCCATGTCCCCAGGGACCCGAATCTGGCGGGGGGCAGGGGAGGGGAGGGGCATGATCCTGCCCTCAGAGCCCTGCTCCAGCAGGAGCAGAGCTCCCTGGCCTACGCACAGGCCATGCCCAGGAGAGGCGGCCCCTTCACCCACCTTTACTCCTGACAGGGCTGGAGGAAAGGGTGCTGTGGCCCCGCCCCTGCATCACTCCCATGCCCCAGTGCTGAGGTAACCTGGGATGAATCAGACAGCCCTAGGCACCTGAGGGAGTGCTCAAAGCCACCAGCATTTGCCTGCCACCCCCCAATAAACACACACACACACGCACACGCTCTTTTCCAACCTACCACACTTAGCAAACTAGGTGCCCACACCCTCCCGGACCAGGCTGCCCCAGGTCACCCCCTCAGCCTCAGTCCCACAAGATGGCTGCGGAAGAAGGGTCCTCAGGCAGTCCGGATCCTGAACAAGACAGCAACCTACTCTGTAGGCACTCATCTGGGTCTAAGAGAGCCAGTCCCGGGGGCTCAACCAAAGCCCTGGTCCCTTCCCTGAGACCTCTGCTTCTGTCCTCAGGACTAGCAGCCAACAGACTGATGGACGCCGAGGCTGCTGCTCCGTCTCAGGTTCCCGGGAGGAGGAGAGAAGGGCAGGAGGCAGCCGCCAGCTGGGCCCCTACCTGGAGCCGCAGGCCTGGACAGGGGCCACGGAGCCCAAGGCGCCTTTTGCCTTGCCCAGCCGGGGGTTATTTGCGAACAGCAGGTCAGGAGGTGCAGAGGCCCCCAGAGAAGTGGCAGCTGGCTCTAGGGACACCGTGGGCATCAGCTTTCTTTCATGCCTCAGGGGAGCTAGTAGGCCGGACACACTACTGCCTGGCATATGATGATGGCATGCTGCCCAGGCACTGGGCAGGGAAGGGAGGTAAGTGGGAGGAAACGAGAGGAAAGACAAGACGGACAGTGCCGGGGAAGTAGACTGTGCGGTGAGAAATCACATTCGGGACTCAGAGCTGCAAAGGCAAGGCCAGGAGCAGCAATGGGAGCTGCCCCCACAGGCAGGACTGCCCCCGAGGGTCTTATGCCCCATGGGCTGAACGCCCAGGATCACCTGACCCTCAATCCTAAATACCCAGCAGTTCATGCCTCAACCTCAGTGTGACCAGTTTCTCCACCCTTGCCTCCCCAAGGCCTGGCTCACTGGCTCAGGGCCAGTGCTGTCCTCTTCCATGAGGGTCCCTGGACACCCCTACTCCACTCCCCATCAATTAAATTTGTTCCCCATTCAGCAGCTAGAGGAACCCTTAAATCCGACCTGGCTTCCCCCTACTCAAACCCCCCCCCCCCCGGAGTACCACCGGCGTCGGGAAAGGGCCAAGCTCCTTGGCTTGGACTTCAAGGCCCTTCAGGTCCTGACCTCTACTGACCTTCACTCCACATACTTCCCAGTTGCCCCTACCTCCTCTCCCCTCCCTGGGATCTCAACCTCCATACTCCACCTAAATATCACCCTGCCTCTTCCGTTCAAAAGACTTCCATGGCTCCCTACTGTGCTCAGAACAAAGTCCTTCCCACAGGAGCCAAGAGACACCTAGAAAAGTCCTCAATAAAGACTAATGACCGTCTCTCCAGCCCCTCCTCCTCCAACCCCTACTCTCTGCCAACCTTCTGTCACTCAGGCCGTTCCCTCTGGCCTCTGTCCCCTGTACCTTCTGTGGGTCCTCCTTTCTCCTTGAAGTCTCAGCTGAACCCATGCCTCCTCCAGGAAGCCTCCTTAGAGGCTGCACTGGGTGCTCTCCATGCGCCTACGTGGCCCAAAACTCCCCACACCTCTAAGTGCTAATTCAGTGGACCAGCACAGTGTCTGGGTATCTGTTGAGTACACCATGACTGAACCCAAGTCTCTCCAATAGATCCCCATCCCAGAACCAGACACGGCCCTGGAAACATTTCCAGCGTCTATTCATGCACCAATCTTCTTTGAAAGTATCTTAAGCTCCCAGACACTGTCCTGGGTGCCGAAGACCAAAACTGTCACTAAGACAGAACCCATGCCTTCACATTCTGGTGGGGAGACAGACAGTGAACAGATACACATACAACAATGTCAGGTGGTGGGAAGGTGCTGAGAAAAAAAAAAAACAAGGGAGAAGGATGGTGGGGAGCCTGGGTGCTATGGCTGCCATGTGGTACAGGGGACATGGGAGCAGGGAGTGAGCCATGCTGACATGTAGGGAAAAGACTTTCAGGCAGGGGAATAGAAAGTGCAAAGCCCCTGAAGCAGAAAGGAGCTTGGTAAGTGGTGTGCTGCCAAGGGCCAGTGTGGCTCCAGGGTAAGGAGCCAGGAGAGGTGGGCAAGGAGAACACTTAGGGCCTGGTGGCTGTGGTGGGGTGTTAAGGAATTCCTCCCCCAACACAGGCCACCACCACATTTTCCCCAGAACCAGCTCAGTTCAGAATAGTTCCAAAGGGCTGGGATGGAGAACTCGGGAGTCCAAAGGAAGGGCAGACGTGGGAGGAAAGGACAGGGGCCCAATCTCGGCTCTCCTCTTCCCTCTCCAGCCTGGCAACTTCACCTCGTGACTCTGCAGCACCAGGGCTCAGCAGCACTAAAGTACCCAGTGTGTGTGGAGGCTCAGCCTACTGCCTGGCCTCCAGTGAACACCCAAACACGTGGCTGCCGTGATCAGAAGAGAAAGCAAAGGCAACCAGGTGGGGCAACAAATGGTCAGGGTTGCAGAGTCCAAGAGTCACTGCCAGCTGGGTGGCCCAGAGCAGGGGCTGGCACTCTCTCGGAGGTGCTCCTGAGTGTTTCCATCCACCCCAGCAGAGGGGTTGTGACCATGCTCAGGGGAGGGCAGAGGCTCCGAGAGGGGACATGTTTACCTGGGGCTCCCCAGCTGAGTGGTGGTAGAGGCCCTGGCCGCTGCTTGTCACGCCAGAGCTACTTTTTACATTCTCATTTCAGCAGCTAAGCAGCCAGCAGCAGCCTGGGTGAGGGCAGGGGAGGAACTGGAAGATCCCCTGTGTCCTGCCTGGATCCCATCCTGTCCTCCCACTGAGGGTGGCGCCTCAGCTGAGGCGTCTGTGACGCAGTCCTGAGATGATGAAACACCAGGCACCAAAGCCAAGAGGACAGCCTGCTCCCCGGGGAGGTGCTGATGGAGGACGCCCAGGCATGAGGACAGAGAGCAGCCTCGGGAAGCCAGCATCAGCACGCAGGGGCCTGCCCTGGCTGCCTGCCTGCACGCAGCAGGCCCCACGGCAGGCAGGGCTTGCACAGCTCCGTCCCCACCTGTTGCTTCCCAAGGTGTCAGGGCCTGAGTCTGCTGCAGGCCTGGGCCAGAGCTGAGGCTACAGGTGAGCCACCTGGAAGGCAAGGTGAAAAGAGCAAGGGTACCTCACAGGATGGGACACCCCACAACCAGTGAGCCCACACAATCACATTATTTACAGAGAAATGTAAATTAAAACCACCTGCCAGGATAGCTAAAATTTTAACAACTAATAATGCCAAGCACTGACAAAATTTTCAACTTACTGCTCCTGGTGGGAGGGTAAAACAGCTCAACTACTGTGGAAAACTGTTTGGCAGTGAGAATTAAAATTCAATATATGAAGGGAAACAAAAGCAAAAATGAACAAGTGGGACTATATCAAACTAAAAAGCTTCTGTACAGCAAAGGACACCATCAATAGAACAAAAAGACATCCTACAGTATGGGAGAATATATTCATAAATGACATATCTGATAAGGGGCTGACATCCAAAATATACAAAGAGCTCATGCACCTCAACAACAACAATTAAAAAATAGGCAGAGAAGCGGAACAGACACTTCTCCCAAGAAGAAATTCAGATGGCCAACAGGTACAGGAAAAGATGCTCCACATCCCTAATCATCAGAGAAATGCAAATTAAAACCACAATGAGATATCACCTCACACCAGTTAGGATGGCCAACATCCAAAAGACAAACAACAACAAATGTTGACGAGGATGTGGAGAACAGGGAACCCTCCTACACTGCTGGTGGGAATGTAAATTAGTTTAACCATTGTGGAAAGCAGTATGGAGGTTCCTCAAAAAACTCAAAATAGAAATACCATTTGACCCAGGAATTCCACTACTAGGAATTTACCCTAAAAATGCAACAGCCCAGTTTGAAAAAGACATATGCACCCCTATGTTTATCGCAGCACTATTTACAATAGCCAAGAAATGGAAGCAACCTAAGTGTCCATCAGTAGATGAATGGATAAAGAAGATGTGATACATATACAATGGAATATTATTCAGTCATAAGAAGAAAACAAATCCTACCATTTGCAACAGCATGGATAGAGCTAGAGGGTATTATGCTCAGTGAAATAAGCCAGGTGGAGAAAGACAAGTACCCAATGATTTCACTCATCTGTGGAGTGTAGCAACAAAGCAAAAACTGAAGGAACAAAACAGCAGCAGACTCACAGACCCCAAGAATGGGCTAACAGTGACCAAAGGGAAAGGGACTGGGGAGGATAGGTGGGAAGGGAGGGATAAGGGGGAAAGGGGGCATTATGATTAGCACACATAATGTGCATGGGGGAGGACAGGGAAGGCAGTATAGCACAGAGAAGACAAGTAGTGACTCCATAGCATCTTACTATGCTGATGGACAGTGACTGTAATAGGGTATGTGGGGGGGGGGATTTGATGATGGGGGGAGTCAAGTAACAACAATGGTGTTCATGTAAATGTATATTGATGATACCAAAAAAATAAAAATTAATAAAAATTTAATATATGCCTACCCCTCAGAGCCTCCGACAGCCTCCACACGCACGTGTGTGTGTACCGGG